AGTTCACCTAAAACTATTTTTAGTAAAAAAATCAATTAATTTGAGGTCGTAAAAGTTTAATCTTTATTATTTTGTTTTTGTTACTTATGAAAGAGAAAGATTCATTTTGAAAGCGATTTATTTAAACATCAGTATTTATACTTCTCACTGTTTATTTTCTAAACAATTAGTTTATTTGTGATTTGTTAAGTTTGTTAGTCAGATGCTTTCGTATGATTTATAAACTGTTGTCATGTCTTTTCCCATTCTCAAATTACTAAAATTGTATTATAAGCCTAATATTCTGACTTGTATCCTAAATGCGCTAACTTGGCATATATTGTAATTTCTTATTTATCAGACGTTATGGTCCTGTAATTCACAAATCTAATCATATGAATTTTTGGATCAATTATACAGAAGTTAGATCAACCGTTTCATTCTTGTCTTATGATTGCGGTTTTGGACAAGAAATCTGTCAGATCATTTATTTGAGGGATTAGGATTATTGATTCAAGTATAGCAAACCACAAGGTCATATCAAATTATTAGAATCTTTTTATTGAATTAATAATATTTTTCACTATTAACTTGATAATTAAAAAGGACTTCCGCTTTTGAGTAAGTTCATAACTCCAAGAAGAGGAATTCAGTTAGCGATGGACACTTTTTGTGAAAAGACTCATTGCATTTATATTTAGATATATTTACAATTGACTATTCATTATGTAGTGACCAATATCATGTGTGTCATTTTATTCTTAGTATCGATCGAATTCTATTGATCATGCCGCAATCAGACCACTAGTTTTAGTGACTCGACACTATAATTGATCCAGCTTCACAATCAGAAACACGGAATCCCATCTACCAGGGAGAATCCGTTCCACCTAGATTGCAGAAACATCTTACTGACGAGTGCCAAAAAGCGCGAAACTGAGATCCATGTTTTCCTGTCGACTACTTTTAACTATCAGCTTACAAGTTTAGTTATATTACAAAATGAAGCAAGATATAATTGCGAAGCTAAAATATAGTTTCATCATTAAACCTAGATGATATTTTTACAACTTTCACTTACTGATTTGGAATACAATTAATGCCTACTTATTCTAACTACTTGCTGTTCAATTTCTTTATGAAACCACTCACATAAATCATGGTGATTGTTTGTAAAAAAAGACAACCCATAACTATTTTAATATTTTATTATCCAAACTCAAGTTATTTGATCTCGGTTAATTACTTAAGATGAATAAGTGACATTCCATTCATAAAACGATAATTATTAAATTAGTTGAAAATTCATGATACTGATTTAGTTGCCATCATTCATTTATGCAATCATTAATGCATTCCGTCAATTAGCTGAGTCCATGTAACTGACTTAATATTTGATTAACATGTCATTTTTAAATTTAGTAACTGATAAGAATTCATAAACTTAAGTTTAACAATTGACTTGAACTATAACAGTAATTAACGTTTACTATGGTCATTATGAAGGTTCAACTTGATAATTTCACATAAATTAAGTATTGGATAGATTGCTTACAATAAATATTATGATGTATTCATAATATCCTAAAGGTTAGCAAATAAAATCTCTGACGTGTCATGATTTAGTGTAAGCCACTTTTTATGGTCAATGTAAATAACAATTTAGTATCTAATTGAAATCATGAACCGATTGACGTTAGACCACTATTATAAATCTGGAAGCACTGGACGGCTGTTTCGTCCTATCGTGGGACTCCTCAGCAATGTGCATCTGTGATTCTGCTCGCGGGATTCAAACCTAGGGTCTTCGGCCTTGCACGCGAACGCTTAACCTCTAGGCCATTGACTAGATTCGTGAGGGAATTCTCGGAGTTCCAGTGAGAAGCCGTGACCAGTGGAGCTAATCCATGTCATGTAGAGATAGGTATCTACCTCAGTACAATGGAAGATGGTCACGCAATTTCGTGGACTGGTTGAGGTTAGACATTAACACCAATGGATTCCGGCTCAGTGGTCCAATAAGTTAAGCGTTCGCGCGCGAAACCGAGGGCCCTGGGTTCGAGTTCCGCGAGCAGAATCATGGATGCACACTGTTGAGGAGTCCCAAAATGGGACGAAATGGCCGTCCAGTGCTTCCAGGTTTGTAATGGTGTTTTTACATCAATCGGTTCATGATCGCAATCAAAAACGTAATAATTTCCACAATCTCATACTGATAATAATTTAGTACTTTATAGAATTTAGTTTGCAGTGCCATTCTACAAGCAATAAGAAATAATTTATTTTTAAGTAAACTGAAGTGATAAAAATTGACTTATTTAACTAAAATGATCCATTTTATCATTACTTCGTAAAGATTCGGCATCATCAATTTCAAATATATTAAAATAACTTGTTTAGTTAATTTCATTTCAAATTTCAGAGGAGTGGACTAATCGGTAACCATTCTGTAATCTTCCTGATATAAAGGTAATTACCAGAAGTCTTTCTTTACTTGCATACGATCTTTTGTACTACATCAGTTGTGCTGTGATGTCATAACGACAGCACGATCATTTATGAAAATCCATTTTGTTTCACTCACTCATCGATTTTCCGTTTCTCGTAAAACCAACACAAGTATAATCACAATATTTTCTTGCTGGACTGAGTTTTGGTCAGACCTTGTTGACATATTTACAGCCACTAATGTTGACAATAGGATGATTTATATCTCTACTACTAGTGATATAAACATTAGAAATGGCGAAAACGTTAGTGGTTATCTGGACCCAGTAATTCAGATGAGAACCTGTTGAAAGTTTTCAACGTAAGTTAATGAATTATAGTCTTGACATGAATATTACACTTTGACGAAGGCACATCCACAAAACAAGTCCCAAATTGGACAAACCATCCATCCTGGATTTCATTTCTATTCATAGTCTATTTGTTCTAAATAACTAGTGACATATTTGTATTTTCACGGTGATCCTCACTGGAAACATACATCCCAACCACGATTGGTCGAAATTCAGTCCCCAACACTAGCAAGAGGATAAAGCAGACCCTTCTAATAATATATCACTGTTCTTGGACAATTTAACTAAAATAAACTAGAGTATGTGAACTTTGATGATATTTTTATACGTTTTCTTCAACATATTCAGAAAAAATGTTTTGAAAATATACAAACTGGTGTTATGCACATAGTTTCTATAATCAAAGAGCTTTTGGTTCTGAGCCTATTTCACTTAAGCAATAAATGTTTATTTTCCTTATGAATTTGAATCATCTTAATTCGAATGAAGAAATTTACGTTTACACTGAGACAGTTGTAATGTTAACAAGTTTCAGTTTTTTAAAATGACTATTTGAGATCTGGATGCTATTCAAATCGAAATAGAAATACACTATTTCCCTATTGATTTTCAGAATGGATTTTTAACATTTGCTAAAGCGAAATAAATTGGAAAAACCTGGACCACACTGCTGTACGAAACGTTGGATTTAGTTAAAGTTCAATCGTTGAAATTTAAAAAATGAAATTATCCGCTTTCATGTTTTACAATAAGTTGGTGCCCAACTACTATGATACGATAAATTAGTTAGCTATGTGATAATGAGACAAGGAATGTGTAACATTGCATTAACAGTGTTATTACTAACTTCAAAAACTGTCTGATGATATTTTAAAAACAGGAATAGATTATAGCTGATGGTGGAATCCAGGATGAGCGTCTCTTTGTATTAGGGAGTCCAAAATGCAGGCACATCCAGCTGATGCGTCCCAGACAACACGAGGTGTGTGTCCTGGATTCCACTGCAAGCCACCATCCGTCTCTGCCTTAAATGCTTGTAGCCTACTAGCAATATCAAAACAATCCTCACACGTGCACATATTACAAAACAGATTGATCAATTGCAGTCCTAAACATTAATGGGAAGATCCAAACAACCAATATATTTGAATTAATATCTGATAATACTTCGAATGTATGAATGTGTAACTTTCACAATTTAGGAGACAATATATACATTTAATTAACTACTCCTACTAACGTTTCCATTGTGCAGTAAACAAAGCAACAATTTTGAGTATGTTGATTTATCAGGAAAAGGTAGTTTTAACTGGTTCACTGAACTATCAATTTTATTCAGAATATAAACTTTCACTGAACTTAGTTTCTACTAAATTATCATGTGCATGTCTGTTTTAGGCGAAATCTACTCTCTCGCTCTCTCTCTTCGTCTCTTTTTAGATAGTTTGGAGAGGCTAACTGATAAATCAATGTGAATTTGAGAGATATGATCAACGGAAACCGTAGTATTCTACTGAATTCTTCAGAATCCAAACATAGAACATTGAGGATGTTTGGTGATAATGAATACGAGAATTTAGAATACTCGTTTCGGTTTTTGTATCATTGATTGTCTAAATGTGCTGCCATCGATGCTACAACCCTTCATCAATTAATTCATATTTTGAAATACTCGACATTATGAATGTATTAGCGTTGTAATTGTCTGATATCTATTGATAACGACACGTTAACAGTGGAGTTGATGACATTGAGAAATTTGAAGTTGGCGGTTGATGAACTTCTATCTCATTTGTAATATCACTATGGACATAAATCTGTGTATTTGATAAGTTACGTACAAGATAACTTTTATACCTTACCATATTTTTCCCAGAATATTCGAAATTACATGCATAAATGTTTATATTCATTTTTGTATCCTTTAGTACATAAAAGCCTACATTTTTTAAAATACACTCACTAATGAAGTTAACGCATTAGTTTAAACAAAAATAAATAATAATAGTGATGAAACGTAAACAATCAAACAGTTCGGATGTGATAAGGTCATATCTTCAAATAATAATTTGAAATTCCACAACTATACCATAGTTACAGATACATGTACCAGAACTTTCATTATTTGTGGACAAGTATTAGTAAATAAATTCGAAAAAAAATGAAGGATAAATTTATGATTTGAATGAAATAAAGGACAACATTATTTTATAGCCACTATATAATACAACATTTTAATGATATTTAAGCCATATTACAATCTCATTCTCTCTAGTTAAGATGAAGTTTATTATGTTACTATGCGTAATTTTTGTGTTATTGACTTATTCAACATTCATAAAGTGAGTTAATAACTATCAATTTAGTGTTAATAATGTAATGAATAATGTAATAATAACGGACATATCGGTTATTTATTTACTCTGATGAAGTAGCCTAAATTAAGTCACAAAACGTTGGAGCTACAATTTTTCTACTGACTGGAATATAAAAAAAGCATATTTATTATTAACTCTTTACTCAATGCTCAATTTATTTAAAATTATAAAGTCTAAGCTTGATATTGATACATATTAAAAATAATTTAATTGTTGTTATGGTAGGTATTCAATATAATGCTTAAACTTCGTATACAGTTCGTCCTGATAATGGTCACTAGATAACATCACAACGGTGTATTAATCAGAAGGCGAACACAAAGTGTTGATCACGTTTATTATTACCCCATGCACAGATCACCAAAATTACAGATGCTCTAAGCAAGAATGAAAGAGTAGTGCCGAAAAGCAATCGGACAAGCGAGTGAGCGAGTGAGTCGAATTAGTGAGAGTGAACAGGATTAAAATGTACATAAATATATACATGGTGGGATAAATGAATCATCGAATCAATTAAGCGACTAATAGTAAGACTATCAGAATGAATATATGCGTAGGTACTAAGTAATGGTCAAGCATACATATTCAAACAAGTTCAACAATAAGAAATATACAATGGTATAGATAAGTTGTTATTGTACGAATAACTCTGTCCGATAAATAAATTGACAAAAGGGTTAAACCAAATTAAATGTGAACAAACTCAATTGTACATAAGCTACTATATTATCACTGATAATATTATTTACGTGTGACTTCTTTCATACACTGATGACGATTTCAGTAAAATATTTTATAACAAAGCTGAATTCAAAAACATTCTTCATTATATTAAAAATCGGTGATGATACACAATACTTTTATGAACTGTCAGTAAATAGATTAACGAAAGCAATATTTACATAACTGGTATTACCAAACTTACGAAACAGTTCTAGTGAGAAGTAGTGACCAGTGGAATTCAACCAGGTCTGTTGTGAGATAGTAACTCACTGAAGACAATGATGGATGTGTCGCTCAATTTCGTGGATTAGTTGAAGTTAGACATTAACACCATTGGATGTCGGCTCAGTGGTCTAATGGTCAAGAGCTCGCGCGCGAAACCAGTAGGTTCTGGGTTCAAGTCTCGCAGGGGGCGGGATCGTGGATGCTCACTGCTGAGGAGTCCCACAGTGGGACGAAACGGCCGTCCACTGCTTCTAGGTTTTCCATGGTTATCTAGCTTCAACTGACTCATGATCTTAACCATTGAAACAGTAACTATCAATTAAAAAATGTACTTGCTCTAATGTTTGTTCCATTATTATGTTCTTTTATTTATATTCAATACCATTCATTTTAATCGTTTCACTTTCTTATAAAATTTTGTATCCATAACAATGACTAGCTCAAAATCATTGTCATAGTGTGTTTAATTGAAAAGAAAGTAAACATACAACAAACAATTGGTACACTATCGTGTTTAACAACAATAAATGGGTAGAATTTTTCAAAGAACTTACTATTAAAATCATGTAAATTATAAATTAACAATTTCATTATCAGAAGGGGTCTTGTGGATATTATAATAATTTTAATAGTTAAGGTGATGAGTCAATTAAAGCTAGACCACCATGGAAAATTTGGAAACATTGAGAAGTCCCACAATAGAATGAAACAGCCGTCCAATGCTCTCAGGTTTTCCATGGTGGTCTAGCTTCAATTGAATCATCATCTCAACTATTTAATTTAGTAATTCTATATATATACATATAATTGAAACTTTATTTTATATGCAGTTATCGAATACTCGTGTTTATCTAATTACTTGCTTGTATGTAACAAATATCAATATATTCTGAATGAAGATGAAATTATGTACAGAATTTTCATTGACTACTTTAAGATTGAAAACAATATATGTGTGTATTATGATTTATTCACAGTCAAAACGATTTCATTGTATTTTTTAGTAAAGCACACCATACTGAAGAAGAGGACGATGAAGACATGGATCACTCAAAAAACAAGGAAGAAGACAAAGATGAAGACGAAAATGAGCATGAAGATGAAACTGAAGAGAAAAACAGGAATGATGATAAAACCAAAGAAAAGAATGAAGAAGCACATGAAAATGTAGGGGAAAAGCATAAAGTCAAGGGGAAAAAGAAAAATAAGGATAACAATAAAAAGAAAAGTGATAGTGAAGACGAGAAAGTCAAAGGAAAAAAGGAGGATAAGGACAAAAATAAAATAAAAAGTGAAAATGAAGATGAGAATGTGAATGATGAAAATGTCGACTCAAAACATGGAATGGTAACTACTTTCTTCTACATAAATATAATTAATAATTCAATGTTATATTTAAGAAAGCAATATATAAAGTTCTAAAGAAATCCTTTAAAAATGGACGTATGAAAATGTACAAAACATTCGATACTTATTTGAGAAAAGATGATTTAGACAAGAAAATGCTTGAAGTCGCTAAAATCCGTAAGTTATGGTTCATATATAAAATAAATATGATCAATTCATGTATTTTTTTTAGTTAGCAGACGTATTGAAAAACGAGCGGATTATCTAGCACAGAAATTGAAAGAAATGTTAGCATATGAAACATCATAGCAACATAAAGTTTCATTGCCTTATTAAGGGAGTACATATATATCTTTGCATTCAACAATCTGAAAGCATTACAGGATACATAAATATTTTATTGATCTTACAAATATATCATCATCATTACTACTACTACTACTAATGATAATAATAATTGTAATTTATAAACTGATTGATAGATATTCTTATTTAACAGATAGATTGAGAACCATTCTAATTCATGATTGTTATTGATGTAATGTTATTAAAGATTATTTTCATTATATATTATTTTATCTAAAAGATAGTTCTTGATTACTCAATTAGCTATATCCATATAAGATAAATGATTGAAATAAGCCTATACGTGACAAATTAAATATAACTGTAATGCAATATTAGATATGATTCTTTATGTAAATGAATAAAGGAGTTTAAAAATATAGTTTAGTATAATTTCTGTAAAGATGAAAGTGAAATACTATTGATATTGTAATTTTATCTCATATGTGAAATGGGATTTATGACTGTAAAAATGTGTAGTTATATTAATCGTTTAAGGGTAATTAGCTGTTTACACCTCTTTATACATAATTTTCAATTCTCTACCACAAAGCTTACAAAATAACCTGTTTGTTATCCAAGATTTGTCAAACATTTCACTGCAAATTTGTTACACAGGGGGCAACATGGAACGTCGTAATCAAATCGAAATGTATTGAACATGCCTAACACGTTTTGATAAACTAAACCCCGTATCATTATTTAAGACAAATACAACTTCAAAAGTACTTCTTGCATGTTTGAAAGCATACTGATTTAAATCAATATTGTCATGTTATACAAGCTAAATTAATGGTTTAACTATCGTTTTAAGGCACGATTGTTATGGGTCGAAATTGTACTTAATATTACTAGACAAATTTTTCGGTATTCAAATTAATTTATTTCTATCGCAAACTCCTGAAATAAAATTCATGTGGAAGAATTCATTAAAGGTATTCGTTAATATACATGATAAAATATCGGTACACTTTTTGAAATGATTAAAGATTGGATGACATTAGATACTAAAAATTGAGAGGAATTCAATGATTTGAAATATTTTAAAACGTGATTTTCACTTTAAATAAAGCTTACCGTTGAACAGAATGAAACGGAAATATTAATATCGGAAACTCAATAACTAGTTTAGGGAACATGTGTTTGGATGGATTCGGTTTGGGCACCCGGGCAGTATCCCAGCTCTCACATAAATCGAATGAATTATATGGGGCATATCTGTTTAGTGCCTCCTTGTACCAATGTTTATGTGTTTAAATAAATAAAATAAACATCGCTAGTATTATTCTTTCCATTATTTTTTGCAAATAATTTCTATATATTTTTAAGAATAGTCGTAAAATAAAAGTATTCACACATATTGTACATACACATGTTGTGAAAAGCGGACTACTACTCAGAGAAAATAGCAAAACATTTAGTGAACTTACTAGTTAAAACGAATTATACAAATGATGTGAAACAAAGAGTTTTGTAAACTTATGTAAACATGTATGAAGTTAGGTTCAATTTTCCACATAATATCATACTACTTAACATGTGAACCATATACTAGAAAGTTGGTTTTGTTAGTATGAAAACACTAGCATGTTTGTAACATTTTCACCGCTTATATACTATATGTGGTACATTTTATCGGCCTTTACATTTACACACCTATCCTTGATTCTCCTAGTGACATACCAATCAGTTTTACCATTGATCAATAAAGAATTTCGGAACATCATGTACGCTGTTGACTCAAAATAAGAAGAGAAACTATTCATTTAAATAACATGTCCAATCGAACTGATAAATAACAACCTCGAATAATATCACCGTTTGGTATTAATTCAGGAAAATGGGATTTTCTCACCTATTTGTTTTTCGAAGAAATATTCAAGCACATTAATCAAATTTTGAATAATATTTTCAGTTATTTGGTGTTGTTATATATTTGTTGGATGTTCTCTAGAACCTCTTCAATTGTAAAACTATATTCACGTATTTTATTGTTGACTTTACAAATCAAATACTCATGTTTAATGAATAATTTAGGGAAATAATTACTGAAAGAACAATCTGTAGGATCAGTCTCTTAACTATGACCATACTTTGTGGTTTTATTTAGTTTATTTATTTGTTTCCTCTTTTTATCATTTCCTCCACCCTGTGTTTATAAAACTATCCTAAATTACTGTGATTTCCTATTCCTATTATTATTCTTACAACAAAGATTAATTCTAGCCACGTTTTCTTGATTACCATTATCACTTTTTCATTCCCATTTAACTACTTAACTTTTGTTAGGGACGTTAGATCCCCAGAATACACTGGGGACAGGACCTAATTTTGTAATTTTATTTAGAAAATTTGAGGTTCTTTGTTTTTGCGCCAAAGTCGCTCTTGTCACCTTCATGTCGTATTTCCCACTGGGAAATATCTTAAATGCTCTTGGTCCGTTGCGTCTTTTCAGTATGTTATTTGATAACTCTCCCCAAGGAAGGTTTTGTACTGTATATATACGTTTTGAATTGTGTTTGTTGTTATCGCTCGTTTCTGACTGTTTTGCAGAATATACTTCCCATTGCAAGTTTGGACTTCTCCCTCTAGTTAGTGAGGCTGGGACGCATCAATGGCTAGTTTACTGGTCTTTGGTCACCGAGTCTTGTTTCTCGTTCGCAGATTAAGTGAACTCGTGATAGCTTCAGCCCTAGCAATTTGTCACCTATTTGTTGTATATTTTCTATGTTTCGTAAATTTACTACTTCAATTACTATTTGTTTATTTTAAATGGTGTCGTGAAATTTCATGTAACAACTCATAGAATTCTAACGGACAATTTCGTGGATTGTTTGAAGTTAGACATTAACACCTTTGGATGCCAGCTCAGTGGTCTAGAGGTTGAGCGCTCGCGCGCGGGATTGATTGGTCCTGGGTTCGAATCCCGAGTGGTGGGGTCGTGGATACACACTACTAAGGCGTCCAACAATAGGACAGAACAGCCGTCCAGTGTTCCCATGTTTTCCATGGAAATCGACTCATGAACATAACTATTAAATCAATTTATTTAGTGACCCGTAATTTATTTCGCATATACGTGATTGTGCAACTTTGAAAATGAACTTGGTAAAAAAATCGTTGATGTTCACCCCGGGACTCGAACTTAGTACCGTCCGCTTCAAACGCCATCGCGTTATTGACTTTGCTAATGAGTCCTGAAAGTCCTAAATGGGACGAAACGCGCGACCTGGTTCCACTGCTAGCCACTAGCCATCTAACCTAATGTCTAGTTTGACGGACAAAGCATTGAAAAGTCATTTAATTCATTTTTCAAGTCAGGAATGAAATGAATGAATGCATCAACTTACAGATATTGTCAACTTCTAACATTTTCACTTTTAAATCACCTTTTCTGACATATTTTTCAAGAAATTTATACTAGTTCTTTTATTGGTCTGATAAATTGGAAAATTCATTTGCTAACTTAAACTCATTGCGACTAAGTATATAAATGATTTGATTAAATTGTCAAACTTACTGCTTCTTTCCTTGAAAATTTGTATCTGGGGAAAAATTCCTAGTTTGCTATCTATGCATCACGAGGCGTAAAAGGCGGAGATAAGTAGGTACACATTGAGCAACGGTCCTTACATTCGATTAAGACCATTCTTACCATTTAAACAACAAAAGCTTCTTATTGGATCCGATATGTGTATATGACTAGGGATAAATATACTAAATATGTCCAACTTAGTTATAAACTATTCTCTTTGCTGAGACGCAACAACATAAACCACTTTGATTAAATCTACGAAGTCACGATATCGATAATCTAGACGTTTAAAATGTTTCTCTGTTCCCCAAAATGTTTTAGACAGTTGCAGTCTGGTCTAGTAGATCTGGTATAACTCAAAGTTCTTAGTTTCATTAACTTAATGTCACTTTCCTATTATTTTCAGGTCTCTACGTGTTTATAAGATCTTCTCCTTTTCCCTAATTGATACGGAGACACACTTGTATTACGTGGACCATACAAGAAGCATGTAAATTAAAGTTGTAAAACAATCTACGTCTTTCTACGTATTTAATACCTCTGTAAACCTCGTTCCTCATGAAAGTATCCGACTGGGAACAATGAAAGTTTGTGGAGCTAATTATTCTGATGTACTGCATTTCCTATTTTGTATTCAGTGTTATCTTCATCAATAGTCTCTGTGTTTTACCGCAAGTGCACATAACACAAAATAAAGCGTTTTCATTAATCTTTATTATTTGCTCAAATTCGTTAAGAAAGTGGTAAACAAAAAGCAGAGAAAAACAATGTCTGAAATCCACAACATTACTAACCATCGTGTTATGAAATATGCCTAAGATGATTCATAGGCCATCATCTCATCCAGTTTCATCGATATGTATTTCATACGTTTTTCAATGCGTTTTCCAACTAAGGAAGATAATGAATGTGTACGTGAACTTACGGATTTTGGCAACTTCTAACATTTTTAAGCCTAAATCATCCTTCCTTATATATTTATCAATAACTTTATATATGTGGTGTCGCCCTTTTTGGAAGGATTTTTTTAGTTCGTTGCATATTGATCTCTTTAGAGATATAATAGATATCAAACATTATGAAATCAGAATAAGTACCAGTCCACCTTCTTTTTGATATTCTTCATCAATATACACTAATTCCATGTCTTTTTCACTCGGGTGAGGTACATGCTCTAACGTTGTAGCGCTAAAAGAGATTAGAAAAAACAGTTGAGTATGAAGAAGGAGGCAATCCATACTTATTTCTTATTAGGTTATTTTAAAAAACATTGAAAGTAAATTACGTTGAAAAGCGAACTCTAGTCAATAAATAACCTTCTGATGAGACTGCTGATGGACATGTTTGTCAATCATCCCAAATATTCTGGATGATTAACTTCTCTAACAAAACTAACCAATCTAATGGATTTTTTTTACAGTTATTATGTACAACTTTTGCATTTATACCCGGACGTCCTTTAACTACGTATCAATTAAATACAACGTCTTGAACGAATATGTTAGTATCAAGTTAACCATTTCTCTGAAGATTCAGAACCTCAGGAGATTTAAATCAAAACTTTTCATTCAATCACTTCAATATAAGAAATCTCACCAGCTTAATTTATTTAAAAAAGAGACAACTTCTGTAAAAACCTGCATAAGAACTAATTCAAATTATAACTACGTTTTGCAAAGTTTCAGCTATTCATATAAAACAGTTTATTGACCGTATCGGAACAATTAAAAATCAAGAGATTTTAAGAGTAAAACATTTGGAAAATATATGAAAGAATATCATCCTGCTTACTCTAGGAGATAAGACATAAATACATTTAGATAAAAAAAACGTCACTAAAGTAATATACATCTAAAATCCCGCCAAAATACGAAAACATATCTATATGTGAAGCTGCTTTGAAGCCTTTCCTAATTCAATAGTATGGATGTTGAAACAAACATACTAATTAGATGATGATCTCTGTTGATTGGTGTACAACAATTACTTAGAATTTAGTAAGTGATTACATATCTTTAAATTATGACAGATGATGTTATGCAATAATTATTCAACAAGCCAATATATTAGTAAAATAAAGAAAAATTGAATTTTTAACTTATAATTCACATTAACATTCAATACTACATTTGTTAAAATAGACTTTCAAAACAAATCCTTACTTGATCAATGTTGTAGCACCTACAATACAAAATACAGTGAAGATAATTGGTGTCACTTTCATTTTAATGTAAGATATTCAATTTCAATTATAATAATTCACATATTCATGCATTATCTTATATAGTGATTCAAGAATAGTATATTGTGTCAATGACCCCATTATTTAGACCTATCCAACGTTAAATATTTCATCATTCTACATAATTTGATATATGTCTATAAGTGTAATAAGAATTTGTTTACTTTAAAGTGCTGAATGTTCAGTATAACATAAACGTTTTTTGGTGGAGGGGGGGTTTATATTATTCAATAGATGAATTTAATAGTCGATTACTTTGTAATATGACCTCATTAATATAACATCGGTTAAATTGTTTATTAAAAATAGAGTTTAAACTAACTTTCCCTTCACATAATCAAAGTTTTTTAATAAGAATAACTTAATAATATGTAAACAGATATGTAAAGAACCATTGCGATAACTCAATATAGATATAAACTAATTAACTGGTTCCATTTTGAGGATTCGAAAAAGTGATCATAATAATATTGGTACAGAAGTTATTCAATTCATCCATAAAGCTTCTTTTAATGAATAATATATAAAACCTAATTCAATACATTAAAACGAATGATTAAGCCAAATGCAATGGCATAATTCGTCAATTCGTTTATACCATCTGTATGTTGTGATATATGTAAGTGAGTTCCGAAAGTTATTATGATCTAGTCATCAGAAACATATGCTCCACAAACAATAGTGATTTTAGTTAGCACAGGAATTTACTTAAAAATTAGGAGACTAAATCTGTTATTCTGAAACATTATAGTACTTAACTATAAGTAGCCGTTTTAGTTTCTGACGTAGAATTGGCTCAAATTCGGTAGAGAAACGTAGAAAAAACCAGTAGACAACTTATCAGTCTTTGATGTAACAAATGTTTAATGAAAGTGTTCAATGACAATAATTTGTCAATTACTGTTGCAATATGTACAAATATGAGCGATAGAGATATTCAATATGTATAATTAGTGATTCTGAAGACATATGAACTCATTTTATCAGTTATCTAGTCGATAGTCCCTTCAAACTTTGTGCTGGTATATTACTATTCTCAACATCAAAGCTTTCATCCCTAAAATAATAGACTTCAATCGATATAAATTTTATGTACAAAGACTTTGAATTCATTAAGATTTAAGCCAATACTTCTTACTTTGTTTAAAGTATAGTGTAAAGGAAATTGTATGAATGAATTTGTAATGTAATAGTCCCATTCAAAAAGATGCAAAACTATTTGTGATCAAACTATTCTTAAACAAATTTTCCTCTTATCAATATCAGTATCATGGATTCATCATATTGTTTTAGATTGCTATTAAGTCCATGTAATCTAATTCATCTAAATATCAAAATTACATATGGCGTTTAACAATATTTACAAATTTGAAGTTGATCATCTGTTAATAAAACCATATATCAGTATGGTCTAATAGAAATTTATAGCATCGAAATCAATTCGAGAATGTTGAATAAGAAGAAACAACTTCGATAGCCTTTGTAAAAATAATTTCTAGAACAGAAAAACAGGATTTTGATCTAAGATTATTATTATTATTATTAGTAGTAACGACTTTATTCAATATTATATTTTTTGGTACAATATAGAATTCTCAGCACAAAGTATTTTAACAAGTTTCCTTTCCTTATTTCTTCATCTATCCTGATAATAAATATTGAGTGATCACCAGTTAAATGTTAGCAGTTCAGGAATTGACATTTGAATAATAGTCATTCTTTTCAATGCACAATCTTAGCCATCACGATAGCTCCAATTGTAAATTTTTGTAACTTGTACAGCAAAAGGTCGTAAACTTTTCATAAACACGCCTAAATAGGTTTTATGTAATTTATAGATAAAATGATGTGGTACAACAAATAAAATACAGGTAACTTGTTGAGATGTGTTGATATCAGGAACAGGTAGCTCAATATTCAAACAGGCCGCCATCATGACGTAATCGATTAGGCATTTATTGCTGGATTAATTTTCTTGACTGATCACATATATTTCGCTGTTCAGTTAAGTAATAGCTGTAAACTAAACACGTAATTTGTAGGTATCATTGTAGTGAAGGAGAACACAGGTGAGGACAACCGAATTATATTTAGCACAACATTATAGAGTTATCAGTTTAGGGGGTGTGGAGATTGTTAAGTTTTTGATTGAGATCATGAACCGATTGATGTTAGACAACTATTGAAAACCTGGAAGCACTGGACGGCAAAATAGAAAAAGCATACTATAATACTTAATTTGCAAAATGTTCAATAATTGTCTCGAACTTCGTTGTTCTTGCATTTCCATACTAATTGTTTTCTATTCCCGCTCTTCCTTTCCTGATCTTCCCCATCTTCTTCTGCCAGACATTACATTCCCGACTCGCGTCATATACTACTTATATCAATATAAGTAGCACGTACCACATCATTACCAAGGTTAGACTTGATAATTTCGAATAAATTGAGCATTGAGTAGATTGTTATAATTAAATAAAATATTTGTAATATCTCAATGAGTAAAAAAATTAGATTTATCTATTCTCTGAAGAAATGGCTTACACTAAGTCACTAAACGTCAGGAAATCTAATTTTTCTACTCATCGGGATATTACAAATATATTATTTATTTATAAACATGTAATTCATCGAGTTCCAGGATTTCTCAATAAACAACCAACCGATTACTTTTTTACTGTTAAGATACAATTAATTGACATGTACAAAAGATACGTTTCATGGTTTTCGATGGTTATTTATTTATTTATTTGAACACATAAATATTGGTACAAAGGGGCACCGAATATGAAGGCGTCACACAAGTCACTTGATTGATGTGTGGACTATGATACTGCAAGTGTGTCCAAACCGAGGCAGGTGGTTTTCTTAGGAGGCGACATCTGTAGCCATTGACCTACATGTCCAATCCACACGGCAGAGGAGCATCGTCAGGAGATGCAGTCCCATGGTGGCCTGTGACCAACAACTGGTTCATACGCCATTCGTGCCGTCAGGATCCTGAAGCTCATGTGCATCATTAGTTTGGAATCAGGGTTTTTCAACTCCCCCTAGGTGGATCCTCCGTATCCACCAACCAACCCGGTTAAAGCGCCGAATATTTGTTTTTTGTCCTCTCAATTTCGTAAATAACATCCTCGCAGTGAGTAGAACTTCCCCGGTAGTGGCTGTATACACGTGGATATGTGAAAGCATTTCAAGAGGGAGAGCTGACTCTTCCCACCCTCGGCCGTACTAGGGAATTTGGAGGTAATCTAACATCAATCGGTTCACGATCTGAATAAAAAGAATAACGATCTCCACAACTCCTCAACGATAATAATCATCATGTGCTCAGTGGTGACTGACTCCAATGTAATTTCCTGATATTCTAGTGAGGAACCGTGACCAGTGAAGTTCAATCCGTGTAGGGTAGAGACAGGTATCTACCTCAGACAATGGATGAATGATTGGGCAGCCATTCATGGATCGACGGAAGTTAAACGTCCACACCGTTGAATGTTGCCTCAGTGTTCTAGAGTTTAAGCGCTCGCGTGCGGGACTGAAGGTCTTGGGTTTGAATCATGCGTGCAGAATTTGAGTTTCGTTGACGAATACTACTATGGTAACGTTCTGTTTTTAATTAATTAAGCTGAATAAAAAAATAATCGGTTTTTGTTCACTAAGCAACTATTGAACGAAGATGAATTATTTCTCATATAAAATAAAATTTAACTCTCTAATTGAATTATCATCCGATCTATATTCTAATAAACATTCATATGGATTTTAAAACCACATTTGTATCGATTTTGTTGAAAACATTGTAAAACGTTCTTACAAGATAATGTTTGTAATGAATTCCAATTTTTCAAGCTTCCAAATTGTAGTAGTGATATAATGGAACCGTTGTTCTTTCTCATCTTGACCATCAGAACAAATCAAAACTATTTAAAACATGGCTTTGTTTGAACACAAGTTTTCTAGATATTTCCAGGTTTCTTTCACTCTCCTATTTAAACAAACTCTTAGTGATTGTAATACTCATATGCTTGTCCTTACGCAGTTTCCACTAAGGCCACTTAATGTTAAATTATTTTGCTGATCCTACTGTACATTACCTCGTCCTCCTTAGTGCAATTGATTAGTTAGTTTCGAGTAATGGTTTTTATAATCACTAGTAAAATTATAATACTATTATGTAGCAGTTCTACGCAATTAGTATCACTCAATTATTATTACAAATGATAAATATAATATTAGTATAGAACCTTCAAGAAAATTTTCTTAGCTCTGTTCACACTTCTGGGAAATGTCTGAATGGGAACTTTCATGTGAATAAAACAAGACAGGTAGTTCTTCAGTTAGTACTCATTAGTGGTAGAAACTATGTTCAGACCGAATAAGCCATCGAAAACCACACTGCTGAATAATGAACAACATTCTCCATTTAGAGAACATCGATAGACTGTTTAACAATAAATTAAACTAATTTATTCATTATATATTTTATAAACTATTTTCAAGTTAATGCTTTGAAACTATTTGCCTAAAGTTTCCAGTTGTCTTGAATAGATATGTTACGACTGTATACTGCACAATAGGACGAAACTGTTGTCCATTGCTTCCAAGTTTCCAGTGGTAGTCTAACAATAATCGGTTTATGATCTCAATCAAAAATTTAATAATTTCTACAACCCCATACTAATACGACTGATTTATTTAGATTTGATCCTAAAAATGGTTGTTTTTTCGATGTATTGAGAATCATTTATTTATCATGTAATAAAGATCCCTCAACGTATTACTTTTTCCTTGTTAGATTTAAAAATAAATCTCTTTGCTCAATTGGAGGTGCGACGTTTAAAGTGATTGTGTTGAAATTCACTTAGGGGTTATTTATTGTAAAAAAAACACATCCCCCCCAATGACAACTTATTTAATCCCCCTTTTTAAATAGAACCATTTATAACTAAACCAATGTAACTAAAACTTTTATTAATGATCACCATAAATGAAATTCATTTTTTATATTTTCTATAAATTAAAAAGGAAAATCAGTTTTTTTCCCAAAGTTCAAATTAGTTCATCTGTTAATGACTTATGCAGACAATAAAAGAAAGAAAACATTATCTGCCTGCCAGATTTTGCATCATCATGGAGAATTCGGTCCATTTATTTGGTTATCAATAATACCAATAACTGGAAAATATACAAAAACAAATATATTTTCTTTCAATAAATAACCAAATCAAAATTAATTCAAGTTTAAATAGTACGACGGAACAACATGAATACTATGTGCGATCAATCGTTATTTATTCTCTGAAGAAGTAGCTTACAATGAGTTACGAAACGTCAGAAAATCTAAATTTTTTTTCTACTTATTGGGATATTACAAATATATTAAATTATTTATAACAATCTAATCAATGCTCAATTTATTCGAAATTATCAAATCAAACCTTGGTAATGATACCTATTAAAAATTATTATTACTGCACCCTTCCTTTACTTATGTCTCATATTCTCATTATTTTATTCATAAGTGCTCATCATATCACTTTATTTATTTTCTACACTTCTATGATCATTAATGACCTTTAATTATTGTAACAAAAACATTTTAATCATCTTATTACATGCGCGTTTTAATTCGTTACTAACGTACTAAGTCTATTGTTATTATTCGTATCACGTAATCTAGTATTACAATCTTTTTATTACGTTATCTTGGATATTCGTGCTCACATTTCCTCACGGAATTAATACTTTAACAAACATATATATATATATATATATATATATATATATATATATATATATATATATATATATATATATATATATATATATATATATATATTCAATTTTACAGCTTGATGACAATTTCGTTAAAAAGAGGGCCCTTCGCTGAACGGTTGCGACAGCTCCCGAGAACTACGACGGGGCCTCTAGAGGCCCTAGAAGAGTAAAAAAATTTCATCGAATCAGAACGTAGTGGAGCTTTCTGGAATATCAACGTGCTACTAATGGGCAGTAGCATAATATACCTTCTTGTGGATGGGTTGAATGATAATATTGATTTGACAAATGTTAATATCTATAATTACTCATGATTTTCTATGCATTTAGATTCTTGCCCAACAAGCACTTTCTTCAGTCTTCTCCTGTTTTTTTTCATATGCAACTTGAGAGGGTTCTAGAGTTCGATTGCTCAAGTTATACTCATTATATTAAGAATCTAAGCTCTAGACATAACAAATTTCGTGTTTTTTTTTTAATTTTTAAATATATTTTCATTTAACATTATTTCTTATAAACAACCATAGAAAACTAGGAAAAAAAGGTAAAACCAAGTTAAGTAACTTACCTGTAGCTATAAGCAAATGTAATTTTTGTTCTAAGTTATCTGTTTCTAATATTGACTCAGTGATAGTTTGATTTTGTCCAGAAGACTGAATAATTAATTGTTGTATTCTCTTTATCGTTTTCATTACACAATCCATATTCTATTTCGTTTTTTAATAAAAAAAGAGAGAAAACAATTAAATTATGTGTAGAATTTAATTTTGTTTGTAGGTTACCTCATGAGGCTGATCACTTAATTGAGTTGGAATTTGTCTAAAATAAAAAGGAAAAAGAAAAATTATTATGATGATAACGAGAATATGAGTTGAAAAATGTTAAACGCATTTACATATATACTGTTGATTCTCAATGTAATCATATAATAATTAGGCATATCATTTCCATAGCTGAGATCATGAGTCAATCGAAGCTAAACCACCATGGAAAACGTGGAAACACTGAACGGCCATCGTGGGTGTGCACTGCTCAGGAGTCCTACTATAGGATGAAACGGCTGTTCAGTGCTTCCAGGCTTTTCATGGTGGTTCAGCTTCAATTGACTCATGATCTCAACTATTGACATAAGTAAAATGATATCATTTTTTATGAAAGGACAAAGTCAAGTAAATAAATGTTTCAACGTCCAATTATCTGAACACTTACTATTACGTAATCTTATAATTTCTATGAATGTTATTTCAGTGTCTATATTTTTCTTATCATTGACCTATTCCCCGTTAAATAAATCAACAAGATAAAAATAATAGTCTAATAGGAACTTAAGTAACTTGTAAATGTATCATTTTAATGTCAAAGCTAAGATTATTCAAATTGCATTATGAATGAATTTGATTTCAAACAGTTAGAAAGTTTCAGAAGGGATTTTGTGGATATTATAGAAAACCTGTAAGCACTGGACGGGATCGTGGATTCGTACTGCTGAGGAGTCCCATAATAGGACGAAACGGCGGCCCAGTGCTTCCAGGTTTTCCATGGTGGTCTAGCTTCAATTGACTCATGATCTGAACCATTAAAGTTAGAATGTTGTTGGATAATATGAAACAACAACAAAGGTTTTAGTCCAGGTGAATGCTAAAATAGACAAATTTATTGAAAGCTCGTGTAGCATCGTCAAATCTAGACTTCACAAATGATCTGGCCCTCCTATCGCAATCGCAACAACAAATGCAGGAGAAAACGATCAGTGTAGCAGCAGCCTCAGCAGCAGTAGGTCTCAACATACACAAAGAGAAAAGTAAGATTCTCAGATACAACACAGCATGCAGCAATCCAATCACACTTGGCGGAGTAGATTTGGAAGATGTTAAAACCTTTATATAATTGGGCAGCATCACTGATGAACATGATGCGTCTGATGCAGATATGAAAGCGCGGATCGGTAAAGCAAGAGCAGCATATTTACAACTGAAGAACATCTGGAACTCAAAACAACTGTCTATCAACCAACACCAAGGTCAGGATTTTCAATACAAATGTCAAGAAGTTCTACTGCATTGGGCAGAAACCTGAAGAACTACAAAAGCCATCATCCAGAAGATACACGTGTTTATTAACAGTTGTCTACGCAAAATACTTCGGATCCGTTGGCCAAACACTATTAGCAACAACCAACTGTGGGAAAGAACAAACCATATTCCAGCGGATGAAGAAATTAGGAAGAAGCGCAGGAAGTGGATAGGACACACATTGAGGAAAGCACCCAACTGCGTCACAAGACAAGCCCTCACATGGAATCCTCAAGGCCAGAGGAGGAGAGGAAGACCAAAGAACACATTACGCCGGGAAATGGAGATAGACATGAGAAAAACGAGCAAGAATTGGATGGAATTAGAAAAGAAGGCCCAGGACAGAGTTGGTTGGAGAATGCTGGTCGGCGGCCTATGCTCCATTGGGAGTAACAGGCGTAAGTAAGTAAGTATAGCATCGTCAAAACCTAAAACGTGATAGTCAAAATGGTAATATATACAAAATGTTTTAGTCCTATCAATGGACTAGCTTAATAATAAGCTAATACGTGATGGCTGCAGATCAACTGAAGACCAATTTTTAGCGTGTAAACTAATTGAGAATAGTTAGAGAGTAAAAAATTGTAACCTATATGTTCTAAACAGAGTTCAAATTTCAGTAGGGAAATTGTAATCAATTACGTTTCGATCCATACCACAGAAGTATAGTGATTTAACGAAGTATAGTTTTGAACGCAGGGAATGCAATTTTTATATTTTTTTATTTTGCATCAGAGTATTTGATTGATTATGAAATGGGGTGCTAGTTCTATTCACTAAGTTTTTCTTTTCTTCAAACATATTTTCAGGCTTGATATAGTGAATAGGCTTGCACTGTTATTATTCAGTGTTATAAGTTGCTAAATGGGGTTATTTGATTTTCCTATTTTTCAAGATGCACAATATGAATCGCCTTATAACGTCTTGAACACCACTGTTAAACAGAATCTTACATGTCTCCAACAATTATTCCCTCGACTGTCGCTTCTACATTGACTTGGTGATCGGGCTTGCCTATCATGATGAACCGATAGAGCTATACTGGTTTAAACAATCGTTCCTCAAGGTCCTACCATGCCAGACAGATCGGTTGAAGAGCGGTAAGACTAAAAGCAACAAACCCAGGGTTCGAGGGAGAAGTCGTACTGCTGATTGTACAAAGGTGTGACGACAATAAATTGTTCCCTTCAGACAATCAGCATAATAGTGGTGCTGCCTTCCCACGGGAAAGGGTGGAGTTAAAAATGGTCGGCCCTAAAAATGCACACCTCGACTTAACAAGTACGGAGCGATTGGGAAGATAACTCATATAAAAGGTTGGGTGTGACCGACTTCAAGCTGTTGTCCCTTGGGCACTGCGATCACGCTCTCATGTCACTATGATCACCTCTAATCTAATTTCCTTTTCAGGTACCTCCAGAACAACCCTTCCACGGTGTGGGCAACCGGGAAGTGATAACCGCCCTCATACCTCTAACAGCACTCAAGACCAGTGTATTCATAATCAACCTCCGTCTTCACTTCCTATCATTCCTCTTACATCGATTTTCAACTCTAAAATTCCTCTTTTGACTTCCTCCTCAAGTGTCACTATAGTCAACGATTCTAGTGCTCGAAACACTGCCCGGGTCTACTGAAACGTCGCTCCAAACTACACATTGGAGCCTTCAACGTACACACCCTATGCCAAATCGACCAGCAGGCCTCCTTGGCTAAAACCGTAGAATCTCATACCATTGATGTTACTTTGCATTTTTTTCTGTCAATTTTAAATGTTATAACTCAATGGTTCCACTACGAGTAGCTGTAAACGTTCATCAACAGTTTAAAATAATATCGAAAATTACATAACAATAATCATTTTTACGTGTTCAATCAAAGTTTGTTTGTTTGTTTTTAGAAAAAGAAACAACTAAACAAGTTATAAGATTGAACCATTTCAATGAAAAGTAAAAAAACAAACAATGTTCAGCTCACTTTGATAAATCGATATTCAAAAAGATTAGTAAAACTAATGACAGAATCAACTTCATTTTGTTGTTGTCGATCTTATTAGCTCTTCTCAAAATAAAACAAAAATTGTTTTCCTCAGATTGAAATGATATGAAATCTTTTGAACATATAGTAATTAATAAGTGAGTGCAATACTATCAGTTTTTTTAACGGTATCCAATTGAAAAATGATTATGGTTAGTGAATTGTATAGAATATTTTTTAAAAAAATACAAAACACATACAGGTAGATAGAAAAAACAAACTTCATGTTTTCATTTGTAATAATTTGATTGTTATTATTATTATTATTATTATTATTATTATTATTATTATTATTGTTAAATACTGTCAGAATATTACTGACCCCTATTAACAATCTGTGTTTACTAATACTATAATGAACGAGAACATACAAGGGCAGGATAATTGAATGTATTTGAACACAAAATTACTGGACATCTTAGTTAAAATCTGAGATCCATACAGTAAATACTTCATTTGAAAAATGTCAATCAATCGTCTTAGACTTTATTGTTCTTTCATTTCCACATCAATTGTTCTCTGTTCTCGTTCACTATTTTTTCGATCGTCTTAACTTTCTGCCTCCACGTATTTCACTTTCGATTGATGATACATAGTACTTATATTTGTCGATATCAGTAGCACACATCACGATACTATTACTTACAGAAGCTACTGAATAAAATAAATCTATGTGTGGGAATTAGATCAGTTTCATCAGTCAATTAGTCAGCTACAACGTATGACCAGGTACATATATGCATCGGTCCAAGTTGCCGTACATCATTAACACAACAAGATGAACGCCGGATTCACAAAAGTAGTTTCATACGAACTGATGAGATGACTTGAAATGTTTTTTTCTATTTAGAAAAATGCTTTATGTCTATGTTTGTTATATAGGAAGATCGAAACCATAGTTCACTTATTTGTTATTTTGTGTAATTGTGATCGTGAATATATTGTGTAAAAATGAATCATACGCTTTTTAATATTTATTTATTATAAAAGACAATTAAGACGGGTCGTTATTTTAATGATTATTCGTTTTGGTTTTCTTTATAAGACAACAGATTATGATTTAAATGCTGCCTTCCGGTTTATTAGTTGTCTTTGTTGAATTTAATGAATTGAAAGTAACACTTAAAGACAAATGTTAAATCTTAAGATTTAATGCGAAATAAACATCATGCAAAAATGAAAGAAGCGTGAAAGCTAAGTATTTTCTGTAAGTCTTGGCACTATTTAGTAACTAATAAATAATGATAGTCTTATTTAATGAATTATCATTACTGTCTGAAGAAAAAGAGAACACTAATTTGTTCAGTTGCTTACTGAGTGAATAGAATAATGATAAATTGTATTCGTAAAGTATATCATAATAAACACCTTTAGGGTTATTTCTGAAGATCAACGAATAATCGTTGACTTACTCTAAGTAAAATCAGTTGTGAGATAGTAACTCACATAAGACTATGGTGGATGTGTCCCTCAGTTTCATGGATTAGTTGGAGTTAGATGTAGTGTCAGTTATTATGTTATGCCCTTATACCTTATTCCAGCTTTCGAACAGGACAATCTATTCATTCTACTTGAACCATATTTTGACATTGTTAATTATTGGCTTATCAATCTTGACTGTTTTTATATGAGCGTATATGGGTGTACACTTCTTATCCCATTCATCACATGTCGGTAGCCTATTATTGTATGATTATGAATATTGATTAACGCTCGGTTGAATGGGGTTGGCTTACCCGCCATATCCACTGCGTGTCACTTTATTCCATTCACTTCATATACAAAATATAAGTAGTCAAAAGTTCATTCTCATTATTTGACCTATTTAATTACGCTGTTGACTAACGCGACTTAAGTCGATGATTATATACGAGGATAGGCGACATATACATTTCTACAGCAATCAATCAATAACAATCATTCATACGATCTACTTCGAGTCAGATCTCAGGCCACTCAAGTGGACAGCCCGTCGACAACATTGTCTGATCTAAATGACGACAAAATAAAGGACCCCAGAAAATAGACATTAACACCATCGGATGTCAGTCCAGTGGTCTAGAGGTTAGGCGTTCGCGCGCGGTACCAACAGGTCCTGGGTTCGAATCTCACCAGGCTGGATCATGGATGAGCATTGATGAAGAGTCCTGTAGTGGGACGAAACGGCCGTTCAGGTTTTCCCCGGTGGTCCAGTTTCAATCGACTCATGATCTCAACTGTTGAAATAAATATTTTTTTTAAAAATATCATGTACCTGAAGTTTATTTTATTGCAAAATATTCCAAAGTCCTAGCCAACTCTGGTCTCAAGAATGTACTTTCTGAACCCTGATTATTTCAATAATTTCACACTCGGTTCGTTTAACTCTCATGGTTTACATGATACTTAGAATTTTCATTCATAAATTGACTCAAAAATAAATTTCTAGATACCCGAATACAATTAAACCCATTTTTGCTATGCTATGTTAATTATTTAATTTTATAATCAGAGAGTGGTTTTACGGATATTATAGTAGTTTAATAAATAAATTCATGAGTCAATTAAAGCTAGATCACCACGGTAAATCTGCAAGCACTGGACGACCGCTTCGTCTTATTGTGAGACTCCTCAGCAGTGCTTATCCACGGTCCCGCACGCAGGACTCGGACTCAGGGTCTTAGGTCTCGCGTGCGAACGCTTGACCTCTAGACCACTGAGCCGACATCCAGTGGTGTTAGCGTCCAACTTCAAGTGATTCACGAAACTGAGCGACATGTCCACGATTGTATTCACTGAGTTACTATCTCACAACAGACCCAATTGAACTCCACTGGTCACTACTTCTCGCTAGAACTCCAAGAAATACCTCTTGAAGCCAGTCACTAGTGAGCATGTGTTGATTAGTAACAGAAGGGATTTTATGGACATTATGGTCATTTTATTAGTTGAGATCATGAGTGAACTGAAGCTAAACCACCGTGGAAAACCTAGAGGTGAATTAGTGGTGCATATTTATTTATTTGAAGCGTAGGAGTCTCACAATAAGACGAAACGGCCGTCCGGTGCTTGCAGATTTCCCAAGATTGTCTAGCTTCAATTGACTTATGATCTTAACTATTAAAATCACTATAATATCCATAAAACCCCTTCTGATATTTAGAATACAGTTGCGCTTTTTGATGTTACCCGTTTCTCTGATCACAGATAATCGCAATAAATTAATTAAGTAGCAAATTTTAGAAAAATCCTGATCATATATATTCATTTTCTGTATATCCTATTATTAACATTGTTTGTTTTAGCACAATAAGTTTCTAAATATAACAACAACTTCACATTGAATCAAACTTAAAACCTTCTAGTCTTTAGACAAATACTTCACTATCACTATCGGAGAGCCTTAAGTTAAAACAAGACATATAATCAGTTATCCTCTTATTTTAGATTTGGTTACTGCGGTAGATATCAGTCTGTTAAAAAAAATATCATCTTCAAATTGAACAGTTCAGAATAGACTATCTGAATAAATCAATATATTTCTTCTTAGCTGTTTTAGAGCTTATTGTTGATAATGTTTCTTTAGGTAAATAATCCAGCAATAAGTGGAATCTAGAACACATGTTTCATTTTAAAACCTTGCGACTAAAAAGTAATATACGGGCAATCTGCTCAAGATGTACATATGCCAAAAGTGGCTGGTCAGTTACAATTCTTCGCAAGCAAATATAAACCTTTACAAATATTTGTAAAGCTACTTTTAAACCATTTTAATAAATTACCGAATAGATTTACTGTTTATCAATGTTTGATGGAATCACTGAAGCAGAAACAATTCATTCAACATCTTGTATTGTCAATATAGGCGACGATTGAAATACTCCATGAAACTGATTAATGTCAAAATAAAAAAATTGTCAAGACTAGATATTTTGTAAAAGATTATTTCAGTCATACTTTTCAGGTGGAAGTATATAAAAAACTATAGTTGTTGATGACATATCTTTCAATAGCACCTTATTAGCCACATACAGTACAATATTAAGTGAAGTAAAGAAAATAAATTCACTTGATATTATTTGCTTGTATTTTCCAATTGTCGTTTAGAACTGCAGCTGATCAGTCTCTTGTTGGTATAGTTGCATCATGTGTGGACTGCTTCGATATTGCTTTAAGTCTCACGTTTTATAAACAGGGATGGAAGCTGACTAGCAGTGGAATCCAGAACGCGAGTTTCATCTTATTTGTGACTCGTTAGCTGGATATACCTGCATGCCACAGTTGATGTTCACTTCATTGCACAAGCAAGTATCTCTGAGTAATCAATAACTAAGTGGATAACATAATGGAGTTTGAAGTAAACGGTACTAGGTTCGAGTCCCTGAGTGAACATTAACTATGTGATACAACCACATTTGACTGACGAGTCCCAAATAGGATGAAATGCCCATCTTGGATTCCACTACTAACCATCATTCATAAAATGATTGAGAATTTATTACTTAGGTATAAACAATTTCATACTCATTTTGATGATCACTTCAAAATACAATAATTACACAAATTGTTATGTAATTATTAAATTGGTATCCAAATTTCATAATTTTTTATTATAATACAATTTGAATTAAGTGAATATGATATTCATAACTGAATAATGAATTTTCATTTATTCAATCATTTAAAATTCATTCTAAACTATTTAAATCATTTTTAATAATAATAAAATAAAATAAAATAAATATCAATGTCATAATGATTCAATTAAACAAACTATTTAAATACAAATATGGATGATGAAGAATTAGTTTGTTTGTTTTTTTTATAGAAAATTAGAATCGTTTTATGTAAACAAAACATTCTTGTCCATCGTGAGACAAAATTACAGGAATTACTGTTATTATTATTATTATTATTACTACTACTATTATTATTCTATAAAATGTTAGTAGGATTGTTTACATGGAGATTATTTTTAAGTATGTGATTTTATGTTATAATTTAAAATGTTACATAT